ACTATCGATGGCCACCAACTGTTCTTTAAAAACATTTTGTGCTGGAACCTACTATCTGGCTACATAACTCTAGGACTATCGATGGTCTCCAACTGTTATTTAAAAACATTTTATACTGGAACCTACTATCTGGCTACATAATTCTAGGACTATCGATGGCCACCAACTGTTCTTTAAAAACATTTTGTGCTGGAACCTACTATCTGGCAAGTATAGAATGTTTTTAAAGAACAGTTGGCTGGAACCTACTATCTGGCTACATAACTCTAGACTATCGATGGCCACCAACTGTTCTTTAAAAACATTTTGTGCTGGAACCTACTATCTGGCTACATAACTCTAGGACTATCGATGGTCTCCAACTGTTATTTAAAAACATTTTATACTGGAACCTACTATCTGGCTACATAATTCTAGGACTATCGATGGCCACCAACTGTTCTTTAAAAACATTTTGTGCTGGAACCTACTATCTGGCAAGGGTGTATTTACTCTAGCAAGAACGTGAGCTTCTGGAAGTAGTTCAGGTAACGAAGTAGCGAAAATCTTGTAGCCTGCTGGTAAACAAAAAAAAATGTTTTTTATGTTTTATTTTACTCTTTATAGAATACAGTTGACAATGTGGACATGAAATAAGTCATGTGGCTATAGAAATGGTTTCGCATTTGAAACAATGAAATTTCAATATATTTGTTTCAATACAGTATTATACAACACAGCGATAATGAGTAAAGCTACATTAATCAAATAACAATCATAATACGGACAATAGCTCACAACAAGACATAATTATATCACAAGTTTTACTATTTTATATATGCTATCTGAACACTGAAGCGTTATTGTACATACAGGTGTAATATTTTACAAATCTAAAAACTTATGCAAAACATATTAGCAAATTAGCCTAACAATATAGTATAAAGCTGTCAAATAGAATGTTCTATATTTATATATATTATAATTATCTAACTTTATACGTCATACCTACTTACACATGCGTCGTATGTTTTCGATAACACATAATACTTTAATAGTTCTCGAACATTTCTACATTTTTATTTTCTTTAATTTGAGCATGAATTTTTACAATTACACATTTAAAAAAAGCGTAATTCATCCATTTCAGATTCTATGCAATAATGGCGTACATCGATAAGGTTTGTTATTCAGTAGGTTTAGATAGTTTCAACTGAAATCCTTGTATTAAAACAATGTATATGATGTAAATTCTTCCCTTCGGATTACGAAACTATGTGTAGAGTTTTTTTTATATAGTTCACCTGTTATTTATCTCCATTCTCGCAAAGTGGAGTCAAACAGTTTGATCCATTATATGTGATATATTTTGAGCAGTAGTTCCATTTAAACTAATGTTTTTCTGATTATTTTTCTTTTTAAACGAAAACAGAAATCTTTGTTTATAAATACGCCAGTCTTCAGAACTGTTTGACGTGTCACGTGATGACTTCGTTCAGAATAGAAAGAACGACACAAAGTCCACATACAGAGGCTGAAAATACAACACTTTGACTGTCTGCTTTGTTTCCACCTGTTGTAAAAAAAAAAGGGAGGTGTTATAATGACGAGATGATTTTATGTTTAAAAAAAAAATCAGATCGACTAATTGTTTTTTGATAATAATTATTTCATTAGAGTATTATTTGCTTAATTTTGTAACTCTTAAAAAGTACTTATAAACTAACACGAAATATATTGTTTAACTATTAACAGTCTGTGCTAAAGCTTGTGAGCAGAGTTTATATGAATTATTTTAGGATGATTGTACCGGAAGTTATTCAACATCGTAGCCAAAAAACTAAAAGCGAATCTGCTCTATACTGGAAGTATATTCATAAAATGACAAGTTTTCATAATTGAGGCTTCTAACAAATAAATCGGCTTGAAGTCCTTATTGAATGACTAAACTTTGCCGTGGCAACTTTCAAATACCATTTTAATATATTTTGGGTTTCTTTATACTTATTAACTAAATTTTGTATTTCATGAGTTTAATTATAATTGTTCACTGCTACAAATGACATTTTAATATAAAAACAATCCTTAAATCATAAACTGCTTTATTGGGAAAAGAGAATATTATTTCAAACATCATTAGAATTGGAAATTAAAAGCAAATTTTAAATGGCTACTGGAGCATAGATAACACAATAAGACAGGGGTATTGAAAGGACAGCTGTATAACTCTAGAAATGGTCATCATAAAGTTATAATATTTAGTAGATTTGCCAACTAGGTTATGACAAATGCGATTCATATGTTAAAAGTAATTATCATCGGAGGAGTACTTATCATAAAATTTGCACAGTGTACATGGTATTAGTCTTCGATGTGGCCACCATTCACGTCCACTATTGCTTGCAAACGCGAGAGAACATGATAAACAGCTGTACGATAATTTCCAATTTACAACAGTTGCACTTGACGTAGCATGCAATCTTTCAGGCTTGTCGAAGTAGAACTATAGCGAAAAAGAAGTAGGAGCGAGATCTGGAGAACGTTCTGGCCATGCGTTGGTAAATTTCTATACTATTTAATCGATTCCCCAATCCTAGCAATGTCTTGGATGTAGGTCTCATGCAGAGTGATGTACCATTTTAAATTAAGACAGTTTCGTATTTCTTAAAGCACGTGTCAAGCTGCTTTATCAACCAATTCCGTTTAAGTTTTTATCAACTTTCTATAAACCACATTGCTTCTATCTCTTCAGTCGTAGATGCCATCTAGATAGATTTTCATTGTAGCACCATTGTTATGGTCATGCTAGTCCTCTTCAGTCCCCACTCACTACCAGCACACGTGGGGACATTCATTTCTGGCACTAAAACCACCTTTCGCCAAAATATATTATAGCTCAATGATGATTAGTTTTCGAGTTCAAAAGTTAGAATAAGCCAATTATCTTTATAATAACCCTAAATTTCAGTATTATATTTTTCGAAATTTAAAATTTGTGTGCTAACCAGAGTACTGAAATTAGAACTGTAGTTATGGCATTACAATCGTCATGTCTAACTGTAGACATTTTGTGTGTTAAACAGAATATTAGAACCATCGTGTAAAAATGGAGGTACTTTCTGTATTAACCATTACGCTGGTATTAGATTCATGAGTGCCACACAGACAAGAAAAAACATTGAACTTAAGTACATTTTACCTCATCTTCTAATGCCAAATATTATTAAGTCTTCATAATATTGCATGAAAAAAAGAAACTTCCCCGCCATAGAACAGAAATTGTTTAAATTAAATGATTTTATTTTACATTTTTAAGATAGCTCCACAGGCGTTACTCGTATTCCAATGGGCCTTTTTCCGATTGAAAAGAATAAGCAATTTAGGTGACTATGCATGTATAAGAATGAGTCACGGAAATCACTCAACGGTAATTTATGGCTATATATGAACTGGCTTTATTTATTAGCTCAAAGGACAGATACAGAGTTGCTAGGGGGATGTAATATTTGCTAATGAATCATGTCTTGTAACAACTCTCCTGCTTTTAAAAATGTGTAGCTTTTTTTTATTTGCCTTTGTTCTAATTCATCCTTGACTCCATAGTTATGTCAAAGCTGCACTTGTTTCTCGTTGATGTAACTGTGTAAGTAGATAAAACTTTCTTTTAGAGAATAAGCGATTATAATTAAGTAAAAGTTGGACAGGAGGTTTGAATCCCTGCTAAGTTATAATTAAAATACTTGAGTAAATATTTTAAGGTAAAACAAGGGGATGATTATATTACATAGTTGATGATTTATTTATTTATTTATTTATTTTTTTTGCTTTTCAATTATTTTTCTATCACGCAACTCTCGTAATATATTTTATATTGTACGTGTTTCATACGATGCTAATCCCTGGAGTCACAAAAGATATTTTACTTCTTTTAGAAGAAATCCCTACGTACTTGATAAGAAATAAGTAGAAGTTTGTCGCTTTACTTTGTTCGTTGTTGTTCACGTAAAACTATGTAAATATGTAATGCTAATGCTTGATTTTATATATTTACTTGTTCGTCCATACCAAGATACAACGCCACCTACCTGACGCTTCCATCGACTCCTCTGACTTGATGCTTTTGCTTTCACGAATGTTCGTGTCATCATACAACGGTGAACTTTCTTCTGAAAAGTAAACATTGCAGAAAAACAATCAATTCAATGGAAAATTTACCATAGCACCACCTCATAGGGTGTGTAGAATATTTATTCATTTATTTTAGAAGTTCTAAATGTTTTTCCACCACTCTTAGAAAGACATATCTTCTGTTTCATCAAACTAATAACTCAAGTATATATATAGTATATTACGCTATATTACAACTTATTACAATGTAACTACTGGTGAGAGATGGGTTGAAAATACTTTATTTTCTTGTTTATTGTGGAAGATGAAAAGTAGCTTCGGTTGATAGAAAGTGTTTTGTTAATAATTACCAAACTATTTATTTTTGGCTCAGACAGTAGACCCCCAAGCTTTGCTTAAGAGATACTGGGTTCGAATACTATATTATCAATCATATCTTGCTGACAATCTTATGCATCAGATGTTGTGGTTTTCGGTATATATGAAGCTAACATTCGAAGTAATACTGAAAATATTTTACCAATAATAATTTTATAAAAATATTAGCATCATAAAAAACACAGAAACCAATGTTCTGGTAACTAATAATTACTGTAGAAGATTAGAACTTGGCTGTATGTATATAAATAAATAAAACCTTTGTTTGTAGTGATACAACTAATAGATAAAACATCGTTAAATATACATAACAGTACTCAGCATTGTAAACTACTCCATCTACACATATTAATCTAGCCAAGAATTGTTCATTTTATATTAATCATCCAAGCAGTTTTACCTATCAAAACTCAAACAAACATTTAGAGACATCTATTAATATATATCTGAAACTTTGTTTATGAATTATTAATTACAACATTGATAACGATAGTTGAAACCAAATAAATCCAATTGCCAGAGCATACATATAATGATATCAAAAATGGTAATCGACAGAACACTATAAGAAGGTGTTTTAGACCAGCTGCTCCAGACAAAGGCAGAATGAAGGAAGCTTTGAATGCAAATCACTTCCGTTAAACGTGCAATAAAGTTATTGAAGTCCTGTTACAACTTATGACCTTAGTGTTTAGCTATAGAGTCTTTTCAACCCTATTCCTTTTTCTTAGTTCATCACGGTTTAGAAACGTTATGATTCTGATGAAATACTATTTGCAGTAACTTAATGTTTCACCAAATTAGTAGGCTTACATGCTGCAACACTTCACTAGGAAAGACCGGGGTTTATTAATCTGCTTTTTTATTTTTGAATAAAAGTCATCTGTGAACTTCAGATTAAAAGCTTCCATACTATATAGCAAAAAAAAAAATCACTTACCCTCTTTCTTAATTTTCTCATAAATGAACATAACGGAAGAGTGCCCTGTGTGTCAACCTATCCTAAGTATAGGACAAGATGACACACACTATGAGGTTAGCACGGAAGGAAATTAAATCAAAAACACTTCATCTATATCAATATATTTATAGTACAAGAAACTAAAAACATTTTAACTGTTTCTCACCATAATGCCTACAAACACAGTCTGAAATTCAAAGTTTATAAAAAATATCATAAGAAAATAATGGAAAGGGAACAATGCATTGAGGAATTTGCAAACATTTTAATCAATTTTCTTTATCTTTTTAATTTAAAGATTTATCAAAATTAGGCAAAATATATTTGTTTTAAAATCATAAGAGATACATGCAAATTCCTCATTCTGTGACCGTTTGGCACACGTGTCAATTTACCTCAAGCGAAATGTATCAACGTACTCTAAACCGCCATTTTTCTAGAGATGAGTTGTGTGTGGATGCCGTCCTAGTCATAGTTATCAAAAAATTACGTACCATTAGATAGCTGAACGAAGGCACTTTCCAAAACTATGTCGCTTAAATTCTCTTAACAAAGTAATTAGGATAACATAAAATCTTTGCAGTAAAAATTATTTACTTACATATGTGAAAATATCAATTTTTACTCCTGCACACGACAAAGACTTCCGATCACGATGAAACTATAACAGCAAGTGTTCGGAAGTGTTAGTGGTCATGATATCACGGCTACCAACTTCATCATATGAAAGTTATCGGCAATGTGTCAACCTGCCCCTATGACCAACCAGCTCAGGTCTTTCTTATTTACAAAGCCCTTCAAGATGTTGAGTTGCAAACAGTATAACGCCATGTTGAACGAAACTATTGTAGCTGATTGTGTCGAAAAATCACAACAACAACAAAAAAACTAAACTTCCACTGTTAGCTGAGTAGATCTTAGTTTTAGCATAGAAAGTGCACATGACGTGATGCATCATCACAACAAAACACAACTTGTAACAAAAAAAATGGATCAATAAATTTAGAAAAATGTTTCTAAAGAACAGTTGGAAGCCACGTGGACATCATCGGTAGTTCTAGAGTTACCTAGCCAGATAGTAGGTTCCAGCACAAAATATTTTGTTTTTAAAGAACAGTTGGAGACCATCGATAGTTCTAGAGTTATGGATTAGTTTAAATTCAGTGTCGTTACCTGAACTACTTCCAGAAGCTCACGTTCTTGCTAGAGTAAAAGCACC